AAGGCAAGCCAATATACCGAGGGAACTTTTTTAAAAAAAAAAAAAAAAAAAAAAAAGATGTGTTATGTGCACATACCAACCCCCCATGATAAATGTAAGTATTACATACTACAAATATGTATTAATAAAAATAAATTTGAAAACAAAAACACTAAAAAAATTAAAAATAAAAAAGAATGAATTTTACTCTAAAAACGAATGAGAGATGTTTGCAATACAGAAAACTGACAAGGACCTGCTGTTCAAAGCACGCAATAAATTCCTGCGAATCAACTTGCAAAAGACTATCCAACAGAAAAATGGGAGGGGATATAAACAGCCAAGTCACAAAGGGAGAAATCAAAGTTACACAAAGAGGTTCAAACTCATTAGTAATGAACAAAACCGCCCCGAGCTATCAGCTGACGCCCATTAGACTGGCAACAGGTGAGGTGTGGGGGATGACATGGGAGCACTGTGCCAACTCGGAAGAGTAGGGGTCTCGGCCCCTTCCCTCTGCCCACCGTGCTGTGCAGCCCTGACCTCAGGCTCACAAGAGAAACTGCCCACTAGAGAAGGGGCGATATGGGTGGGGAGTGGGCCCCAGAGATGACCTCACAGTGACACTGCCCCCTTCAGCAGGCAGAGGGCCACAAGTTCCATTCAACAGTGAAAGGAGCTGGAGACAAAGTCCTACTTTATTTCAGCACTTGAAGAGAGGTTGCAGGGAAGACTCCAGCTTAGATCACACAAGGACTCATGGGCCCCATGGTATCTATGTACTCGTTCTTCACTGTTAGGCTTGCAATCTCAAGTGTCCCCAAAAGCTGGTGTGCGGGAAGCCTGCTCCCCAGGACGGCAGTGTTCTTTGGTGGGAGGAGACCACATCATGAGGGTGCTCACCTCATCATCAACCGGCTTTCTGTAGATGAACACACAGCTTAAGGAGTTGTGGGAGATGGCAGAATGGTAGGAGGTGGGCTCGGGTGGAAGCAGGACAGTGGGGGATACCTTTGAGGGGTATATTTTGTCCTCATCTCTCACTCTCTTATTTGTCTGTCTTTCTGTCCCTCTCTTCCTCTCCCTCTCCCTGTTTTACCTTCTCCCTCTTCCTGTTTCTCCCTCTCCCTCTCCTTCTCCCCTCCTCTGTTTCGGACAGCTCCTCTTCTCCCAAAAAAGATTCCTGCCAAGCACTCAAAGCCAACTTTGCCACCTTCCAAAGGCTTTGGAGTTTTTGGGAGATTTCTTCTTAAACTTCTAGGGTATTATATGAGGGAAATGAAACTGTGCACAGTACTAATTTTATACATACATTTTCAAAAAGTACACACATCACATCGGCCTATAGCTTGACAAATGTTCACAAATGCAAGGACTAAGAATACAGCCAGCATACCAGGGGCCCTCCCAGATCCCCTTCTGAAAGTAACTACTAATCCTGTCCTGACTCCAACAAAGGTAAATGGCTTTATGTGTTCTGACTCTAATGTGCACCGAACTTCGCCATGTATACTGTTTGGCTTCTCTTGCTCAGCGTTACATTTGGGAGATTCACCAATTTTGGTGCATGTGGTTTCATTTCTGTTCAGTGCCCTGTTATATGAGCACCCCACAATGTACTTGTCCTGTCTACTCTTACACAGGTGCTACATTGCTTCTGGTGTGGGGATATTAACACGGCATAGACAGGTCAATTAATATCCTTGTTCACATCTTTAGAGAACACGTATATGTTTCCGCTGTGCATTTATGTAGAAGTGAAGTTGCTGGAAGGGCACATTCAGCCCCAGGTAATGCCGTCTAACAGGTTTTCCAAGAGGCTTGGCCGATGCTCATTTTTATAGTATCCTTTTACTCGCTTGGTTCAAAAACATAGTAAAACATATCCCATGTAAAATCTGAACTGCCCATAAAAGGATGCCAAGGGGCCCTGAAGCAAAGAGGCATCAGAGGTTTTGGAGCTTCTCCAGTAATAGTAGTTGCTGCTCAGATGCACAAACACAGCTCAGAAACCTGCCCTTGATGGTCAGCCCATGCAGCTCCTCACAGACCTCAGCCATTCAAATGCCAGCAGTCAGGGAAACTCACCGACCTCCTTAAGCTGCGTGTGCCACAGCTCCAGTTCTCAAACCATTTTCTCTGTCTTGGTCTGCCCTCTCCGTGACAGCCCTGAGTTCTAATGGCAGTACCCTATCCCACTCTTCCGGTCCAAGCCAAAAGGCTCAGTCATTGCCTCAGACTACCTCCCTTCCTGCCTGCACTGCCCACGTCCTTGGGGTGCAGAGCTCAGGATGTTTAGTCTGAGTCCAGCTCGGGGTTACAGAAAGATCTCCCTCTCCAGAGTCCTACAGTTCCCGGCCAAGAGATCAGGCTACTGGGGCAAAGCTGAGAACCAGACCATGCCCGTCTCCTCTGCCACATCCGTCCACAGGGGCCAGTCAACTCACTTTCTCATCCCCTGCCCAGGCCATGCTCTACCTCCCTCTGTGTAAAGCTCCCTGTAACAGAGTCTTAACAGACAGGGCCCCACCAGCCCTGGGCCCACAGCTCAGAGCACATCCTGCCAGGGGCTCACTTACTGATTCTATAGCCCAGGCCTTCTGCATGAATTCGCTTGGCCATGAATTGTCCTTCGATCAATGCTCGAATCTCCACATCTCCAGGGAATGCTGGAACCTGTTTCAGGAAAAAGGAGGCACACAGTCAGGAATGCTTGCTGTCCACTTGTGCGCACACATGTGTGTGTGTGATATATTCTTAAACAACAGCCCAGATTTAGAACTCATAGCTGGCCTCTTCAACACACAACTCATACACACAAGCTCCCAGCTCCACATGTACACCACTTTGGGAAAATCAAACACATTATACAGCTCTGAGGGTTCTGTGATGCCTGTGTTCTGGAATACATTATGTAAATCTTGCTGACCGTCATTCTCTTAACAAAACCGAAGCAACAGCGGCCCCTGTTTCCCGGGGCTGTCATAGTGAGCAATTAGACAGCAGAGCCCATTGTGTGTAGCTGATATTTGCTCAGTGAGAACCACAAGCTTCTGCTGAGAATCCCCACCGTGGAGCACCCTTTAAGCTAATACTGATGGACAGCAACCTCAAGTTTGGCCATGCATCTCCAGCACTTGAGACCAAGGATAGAACCCATCCTAACCAGATCCTATGCTCTAAGCGTACTGACCTACTGAGTGCCCACTGTCCCCTCACCCAGGAGGTTGCCATTCTTCCCATAATGAGCTCTGTCTCAGCTTTAGGCCCTTCCCAGAGAGGCCTACACCAATCAGTCCCCCGGGCAAGACCACAGCACACCTATAGCTCTTTCCTCCAGCACTCAGTCCCCTATCCCAGCCACATCACACATTACAGTTGCATCTGTCTGTTCACTTGATTTCTGTCCATCTCCCTCCTGGACTGAGGGCCCTGCAGAGCTGGTACCAATCATACTTATCTGCTGAGTGAATGAATGAATGAATGAATGAATACCTTCTCCTTGAAAAACTGTGCACAAAAGAGGGCAGGCGAACCGAATGTTCTTTCTCTGAACAACAGAAACCAGACTGGTCCTATCAGACGCTCAACACAAGCTCCCAACACCTTATATGGAGTTTTGTATTTAGACACAATACACAATGCGACTGTCAGTCATTTAATTCAGTGCCAACCTGACTGTACAGTGACCAGAGAGAGCATCTTGAGATGTTCCCCCATGTTTATTGAAGTAACAAACAGAATCTCTCAAGTCCAACCCAAAATGTGGCAATGACTTTGGGGACATCAGAAAAGTCAAATCTAAGCCTAAGAATTAATTGAATCCCTGGGGGTACAGGGGAAGCACAGAGTGGGGAAGAAGGGGAGCGGCCTTTGACCCAGAGAAGACCATGTTTAAGTCTCTTCCACCACCTAAGACCTTGGGACTTTAGGCAGGTCATTAACCTGAGCCTCAGTTTCTACACCTGTAAAGAGGAACAGTCATGCCCAGTTTTGGCGGACCTACGGCACTCATGCAGCAGCAAGTACACAGAGCCCTCTGTGTCAGTTGTGAGCCAAGTGTATGAGTTGTCTTTTTCAAAACTAAGACCTAAGTGTTCAGGTTTAATTGTAATCTCTGTGATAAATAACTGGGTTTTGGGGTGCAGTTTGGGCACTTGTCCCTAAAAGGTTCACCATCACTGGTCATACTTATCTCATAGAACTGATTTGAGAAGTAAATGAGAAAGACACAAAAAACCACAAGCACAGAGCCTGGAATCGAACAGTGCTCAATTAAGAACTAGAGTCTCTCTGTCCTAGAGACTCTTTCCACCAAGAAGAAAGTTTTGACCTTGAGATTTGAGAGCTGTTGATAAATGTAGGCTACAGCTCATCAAGGAGTGTCATTGTGACACTCAGTGACAGCAAGCAGATGTTAGCTCACACAGTGCCCTCCTCCTGGATAGGGGGAAGGAGACATACGGTAGACTCCGCTAACTCCCTAGCCTCTAGAAGGCACACTGCACACCCAAGGGGTTTCATCAATAAATAAGTGGATGACGAAGTCTCTAGAAGAAGCATATTGATAGGCCCCTGTTACATTTAAAACAAAACTGGGGTCAATGTAGCTGTAATATCAATCACATACATACTTCATGGTTTTCTGCATTAAATCTATGACATCCAATCATTTCAGGGGTGATCTCCATTACGTCAAAATAAAAACCTGAAACAAAACCAGGGAGAGATTAGAGATCAGAAACAAAGACCAGCTTCTCAACAGACTCACCGAGAAAGTGAAATGACCTGTATCACTGATGCCCAACCTTTTAGCACTTTCAGTGATAACCAACACTGGGTGCTATAGGTTTGCTGCCTCTGACATATTTCCATGCCCCAGGCCTCCTCCTGTCCCCCAGATGAGCCCTGTGAATATCTCCGTTCCTTCTCTCCAACAGAACAGAGAGAACCAGAAAGGCCCAGGACAGCTGTGCTTAGTGGTTACCCTTTCTGTTCCCACCTGGAAGGCCAGAGGAGGAAGCGGCTGCCCAACCAACCCTAAAAGACCAGCAGGTTTGGTGGTGGGGACACACTGCCGCCCTGCTCAGAAAGTCTGGCAGGCATAGGGTACCTTTCCCAACAGAGGCTTAAGAGGCAAACCCTGAAACTGCCATCTCTGACACTGTCACCAGGGGCTTCGAGAGGACAGACGTGCAGCTATAGCCTGGCCTTCCACTGGGCACACGGACAGCCTCATGACCCCACCTTCATTCAGGTCCCTCACCAGCTTGTGAGGCCCAGAGATTACAGGTGTAGGCAGGCAGGGCTCCATCACCCTCTTCTGACCCAACTCACAGAGCCCCAGACCTTGCCCCTCCAGCAGGCAGCTGCTACACCTTCCCAGGCCCAGGTATCTCTAGACAGCCTACCCAGGTTTCCACTGTTCCCCATCTCTGTGGACCGCAGCGCCTTAGAGAACTCGTTCCAGGAACGGGAAGCAGACTCATCACGGATCTTCTCTCTCATGAGGGAACCATTTTTAAAGCTGCGAAAGTGCACACAACTCTGAGCACTGGGCCCACAGGTTTTGGGAGAGTTCCAGGCAGAGGAATGCAGGTCAGGCTGGGCCACAGCCCACTGGGCAGTGGATGGCAGGCAGCCTGAGCCTCAGGTACTGGACACTGTCTGCCTGGCTCCAGACCCCATGTATGTCCCCAGAAGGCACAGGACTCATACCTGTCTTGGGCTCTGTTACACATGAGGCTCCACAGAGGAGCCCAGATGGAGTTAGGGAGCTGAGGTTTCTGCACACCTTACCACCCAAGCAATGGTTGGGGTGACTATACTGACCAGATAGATCTACATAGTTGCAACAGTTCTCAGGGGTCAGAGGCTCAGAAACCTCTTCCTTGGACAGCTTCCAAGAGGTCCCAGAAGGCCCATGGTCAGAGCACAGAGCAGAGAACCTCCTACGAGAACTGTCAGGAAGCAGGATATACAGCCTGCCACTTGTTAAAGGTCTGCCGTGAGCGAACATGTCACAATCCCGTGAAGTAAGCCCTCTTCTCCTTTCCATTTTATGAGGAAAGTATAGTTCAGATACATCACAGGGTTTGTCCAGCCCTCCATAGGACAGGGTGGTGGGGTTTAATATGTGGACCTAGGTTTAGGGGATTCCAGCTCTTGGGATCTACCCCAGTCAGCTCTACTGTCAGCAAGACCTGTGGGTCCCTGGGGTCTGTTTAGTAGAAGAACTGGGGTACTTGAGATGGTGACAGACCTGCCTACACCTCCATCCCCATACCCAGGAATTGTGCCAACCACACCCAGGCCCACCACAAGAGTGCCATGTAGTGCTGTGTCTCAACTGGGTTGCAAAAGATGTGGCCTTCTAGGGCAGGCACGGGCTCCTTAAGCCAGAGAAACAGGGTATCGCTGGTGCCCAAGCTGACCTGGGGAAAGAAGGGCAGAGGGGAGTTGCTTGGGCTTTACCTACAAACACTTCCTTTCTGCTAGCAGCGCGCTCTGCACTCTCTTACTTTAACCTCATCCCTTCCTTGCTCACCTCAGCTGAAACACCACTTTCTCAGATGCCTCTTCTTTTCCTCACATACCAGAAGAGTGCAAAGTCAGCCCCCAGGTTCAGGCTGTCAGGGACCCCTTTACTGACTTCCTAGGACATGTTACTACTGCACTGAAAGAATGGCTTAGGTGGTGACCAGTTCTTTAAATGACTTACCTACTAGATGCAGAAGATATGGGCTACACCTTCCTGACCACGTGGGTAGCTTGCTGCCATCTGGCCACATGTCTGACCCTCTGCCCCTGCACCCTCTAGGCTAGCCACTGCGTGCTTGGCAAAGAGCACTGAGCTTCTAAGGTAGAGATGTGGGCCCCCCAGCCCTTTGTGGGACAAGTAAACCTTCAGGAAAGTAGCTAAGGTGCTGCTGAGACCCAGAACCCTGGTCCTTAGGGCAGAAAGAGCCCATTAAGTATGAGAAACCATCTTACCGCAATGTCACCTTCCTCCAGCCTCATGCCTGCCAGTGATGCTGAGGAATGAAGAGAAGGCTCTGGTTGGATGGAGGCCTTAGAGTACCCACAATGCAAATCATAGCACACTCCAGACACATCATGGCCTCTGCCTTCCACCCAGCCCACAAGACCAGGCCAGCTGAGGGCTCAGGCAGCCTGGAAGATCCCAGAGCTCAGAAGCTAGAGTCCCAATAACTGGAGCTAGGAAGTCTCTTCCTTAAAGGGTATAGACCCCCCTGCACCATTAGGCACTCAGACATGCAGAGAACTGAGAGGGTCAGGATAAGAGGTAAAAGATGCACAGGCGGAGAAAGACCAGGCATGGAGCATGCTAGGTGGAAGCGTGAGGGGCTTTCTTTTTTGGCAGTACACAAAGGAAGGGGTGAGGTTATGCTGACTGCCCTTTGCCTTGGACAGGGAGCCCACAATAGGGTCACAGTGATCTCTGTCTGCCTTGTTTGCTGATGTACCCATAGGACTGAATGCACCCATAGAGCTCCCACTATACAGCAAATACACTAAATGCAAATGAGTGAAGGGGAATCCGGGAAGGAAGCAACACACTAAAGCTCCACCAGTGACATTCAGTCAGCAGTGGCTGTCAGAGACCCTAGATCCAGGGACCTCACCTCTGCAAACAGCCTGCAGCGACGAAGGGAGTTAGGAAGTGCAGCTCAGGGCTGTCTACACTGCCCCCTGCCCTGGAACCAATGCCAACCTCCACCCAGAGGGAACGCTTGAACTAAGCGCTGGCACAGCAGAGCCCTATGCCACCAGCAAAGTGAGGCTGCCCAGGTGCATTGAAAGAAACAAGGTACATATACTCTGGGAGGCTGAGGACTCTAAGTTGGAGCCCTGCCTGGGCAACTCAGCAAGACCCTCTATCAACAGAAATTTAAAAAGGGCTGGAGATGCACCTCAGGGCAAAGGCCCTGGGTTCAACCCCTAATACAGAGAGAGAGAGAAGAGAAGAAAAAAGAAGAGAAGCAAAAGAAAAGAAAGAACGGGAAGGAGGGCAAGGTAGCTTGTGGAGGTAGCTTGGTGCTAAGACCCTGGGTTCAATCCAGTGCCACTAAACAAGAACAACAAAACAAAAAATGATGCTTATTTATGAGCATAGAAAGAAAACTGCAGGCAGAGAAACCATAATTTTAACCCTTGCTTGGGGCTCTTTAGAAAAAGGACTGCTTTTGGGGCTGGTGGCAGCAGGCAGTGTGCTGTTCAGTGTACCCTGCTGCCCGCCTGGCCTTTCTGGAGAGACCTGAGAACCTCAGGATCCCCTAGAGAAGAGGAAAGCCCAGGGAAGAAGACAAGGTGTCTAGACAGGAAACAAGGCATATTTACAGATTAGACAACAGGTCAAAGACAAACCCAAGTCCTGGAGGAAGAGATGGAGTGGAGGTGTCATCTTGGAACAGGAAAGGGCTTGGGTGAGAGCATGCCTGCCTCCCTTAGTCCCCCTCAGCTCTCACCTGCAGGGAGCAGACACTGGCAGAGCAGCTCCTGAAGGTGAGGGGGCAAACTGGGGTAGGGGCGAGGAGTTAGTTTTCAGGAGGAAAAGGGGACACCACATTAGCCAAGAGCCTGGACCAGAGTTCTTAGAAAGTCCAGCAAGAATAAGTTATCCCTAGGCACTCACCTGGGTTGTCCCCAGTGAAGGCCACCACTCTGCATCCAGGGGCAAATCCGTAGCGCTGGATGTAGTAGGAAGAAATGACCCCCTGAGGAGGAAAAGCAAGCGCCCTGCTGAAGTAAATCCAGCCTGCTCAGTGCAGTGTCTACACCTCAGGCCACGGGAATGCTCCAGGCCCCAAGTCACTGGAACTGAGGGAGCTTTCTGCAGAGCCTGGATGTGACAACCCCAGCTACAACCCAGGTATATCCCTCAAGTTCACAAATTGCCAGAGGCACTCCATGGAGGCCTGGAACCATCCCAAAGACCACTTGATTTCAGACTGAGGGCAGTGAGAACAAAACAATTTCCAACTTGAACCTGCTTTTGTAAGCGCTAAATTCTGGGTACAGCATTGGGGGAAAAAGCACCAGGACATCAATAAGCAAATTCAAGGGAGTAGATAATGCCTCAAATACATGCTTATCGTCCCAGCAACTGGACAAGGACAATCAGACTCCCAAGTGTAGAGAACAAGGTGCTAAAGAAAATAAACCAAGGGGCTGGGGATTTAGCTCCGTGGCGCTGCGCCTGCCTTACATGTGCAAGGTCCTGAGTTTGATCCCCAGTACCAAAAAAAAGAAAGAAATCAAAAATGGCAGGGTTGGGAAGGGGACCCATCCAGGAACCATGGACCTTGGACCCCTGTGGGAGAGGCTACAGGGCCATAATGCAGGCCTCCTCCAGGACAGACCGATATTCTTAACAAAGCAGTTACAAAAAAAAGACAAATTTTTTTCTTTTCCTAACTGTATTTTTATTCCAAAAGTTTAAAATAAATGATAGGACTTCCTGGTAACTTGGAGGAAAATTTTGCTCCAGTCAGCAAAATCTGAGAGATTCTCATCAGAACAAGCCATCCCCTGGGAAAATTGACATTGGCCTATGTTGTCTTGGAATTTAGAGTTTGATCTAGGGCTTGCACACAGGTGGTTCTGCTTGGGAAGAAACTGTAGGAGACGGGAGCAGAGGACTGGAAAGGGTGAGCAGGGAGGGGGGCACACTGGGTGAGCGCCGTCACTACAGCACTGGTGACAGGTGTCCTGTGGGCTGTGCACATCCTATCAAAGCCTTAGAGTGGAAAGTGAGGCAGTGAAAGTCAGGCAGGAGCTGCCAGAAGACACCTATGTGAAGCCGGGACAGGGGTGGGGAAGCCTGCAAGGATGCAAGGCAGGGCATAGGAAGGGTCCAGCATTACACACATCTCCAAGCATGTGCTGTAGAAAATGAGAGGTAGCTATTGAGGGGCGACCTCCAAAGATGGGTGAGATGACCAAAAACAGGGCTCTCACTTGTTTTCCCCATCATGTGATGCACATGTGACAAATGAAAAAGTAATTTTCACCACCAGTGCCCTCCACCTCCTCCAAAGCTCACCTCTCACAGGCTCCTTCTTGGAGGCGTACATTCTTGGCAAAAGGCAGCCAAAGCCTGCCACCCTGGATGAAACTTGACTCCCAGCTTCACAAGAACTAAAAGCCTTGTGTGGAGTGGCTACCAATCCCCTGGCACAGCTGCTTTCTGTTTGCCCTCCTTGGTCTTTCTGAACTGCACTGTCTGCCCACCTCCTTGGGCATGTGGGCCTTGCCCTGTCAGCTTCTCTGGGCAGAGCTGTTCTTCCTTGGGCTCCCGGCACTGGCCCCAGAGTACACTCTGATAATCGTATTTCTGCTTTGACATTCTGCCTTGTGATGCCAAAGGCAGCTTTCAGTAATATCAGCGAGAAAAACACCTTTTAAGAAAAGTGCTTGTAGGGGCTGGGGATTTAGCTCAGTGACACCATGTTTGCCTCACAAGCGCAAGGTCCTGAGTTCGATCCTTGGTGCCAAGGGGGAAAAACGCGCTTGTGGTGCTGAGATTCCTGAGGGGTACTCACAAGAGCCCCCATTCTCCGGTGGCCAGCTCCAGACCTTCTCCAGACCTTGGGGCTCCCTTCCCACCCACACTCTCTCCCACAGAGCTCCTTCTGGTTATTCTAGCTGTGTGGCACGTGCATCCTACCAAAGGACCCAAGGGCAGGGCCCAGCTCTCTACTCCACTCCTCGCTGGGACAGCAAGGACAGGCCCGGTCAACCAGGGTAGGCCTGGTTGTTTGTAGCCAGTGCCCATTCCACATGGGTGGTGCCACACTGATGGTCAAGTGTCTTTAATTTACCCATGCTACCAGGCACTGTCTTAAGCACTTTAAACATATTACAATGGAACAATTACCCCCATTGTTCCAGGTGAGGAAACTGAGGCACAGATTAAATCAATGCAGTCAGTGGCAGAGCTAGGTATCAGTACCAGACAGTCTGGTACCAGGGCCTGTGTCCTGCCAGGCTCTCTGATATTTCTTTCCATGTACCTCAGGCTGAAGTACCTTTATCAGTGGCCCCTCATCCTAGAATGTCAGTCTTTTGTATATTTATTCCTTCAGTGTGCAATCACCCAGAAATCCCCCATCACGAGTCAGGTATCTAACTACACGTGCACCTTAGCCCTGCAAAGGATCCATGTCCTTTATTTTGACTTTGTCAAACACTTGTCTGAGACTAACCTGAAACCCTGTGTGCGTGCCTGTGTTAACTGACGGACAGGTGGATGTGTTAATGCACTACAGTTTCTGGCAGCTGCCAACACAGATGGGAGAACTATTGCAGGGAGGGGACCTACCACCACTGAGCAAGATGGCACTGGTGGGCCAAGCTTCTCCTCTAAATCAGGGGCACAGGCGCTGAGGCAAGCCTGGGACCAGACTTTCTCCTGGATCTGCAACAAATTCATTCCAGAACCTGAGAAAGGAAGGGATTAGGAAAAAAAAAAAAAAAAGAAGAAGCTTTGGTGAAAACTGGCAGACAGTGATAATTCTGTCAACACTGACTCACACCTGGACCCTCTCATCAAAGCAGGTAGGCAACATGCCACATCCCCCTCGAGCACAGAACCAGAGGGCAGAAGTGCCCTGGAAGCACAGGGTACCACCTTCTCCCACCATTCCTTACAGACTCACACATCACAGTGGCCTGGAACTCAGTGACTTCCTAGGTCTCAGAGTAAAGGGCCCAGCTGCAGCTGGGGAACACAAACCCCAGAGCATCTACTGGAGAAGGGCTGTGACCCCCCCAGCAGTGTGAGCAGCTCCAGGGCAGGTGTGAAGAGCATTCTGGCTACTCTGGGTTTACTCTCCCAATTCCCCAAATATGAATACAAACTTTAATAAATAGCTCTCTGTGGGAGCCAGGCTTCTGACTCTCACACCTTGGGAGGTCCTCAGCACCATACCGCTCTGTGTGACCCAAAAAATGAGGCAGAGTAATAGCCTGTCACTTCCAAGATCAGTGTGGAAAACACTTCAGCTCCTGCCTGTCTGTCCCAGCCCACAGGGCATGCGTGGAGGGGACAGGAGGCCACCTGCCAACAGTCACATGCAAGATCCTGCAAGCAAGTCCTCTGGCTCCCGTGGAGCCTCGGATGACGGAAGTCCTGTGGCCAGCTTGCCTTCTGCCTCCTGAGAGATCCAGAGCCAGTACTGCCCAGCCAAACCACTCCCACATTCCTGACCCTCAGCATGCTGTGAGAAAATAAATATTTGTGGCCCTCAGCTGCGAAGTCATTTACGACGCTGCAAAAGTAACTAATACCTCTCTTCTTGGCAAATGAGAGCTGCACGGTCAGCACCCACACAGTGTGCAGGGGGCTGCTGCTGACCGCAGCACTGGAAGGAGTGCCCCCACCCGGAAGCGTACCGTCACTGAAGTCAATTGGCGAGTAAGAGCCGAGGAAGAGGGAGGCGGCAAAGCTGCTGACCAAAGAAATTCTCTGGAACAGAAACACAGTGAGAAATGACTCATTTCCAATACCCTATGCTACTGAATGTTTCTCCCATGCATCCAACACGAAGAGGGTTTTGCTTCATTCTACTTTATTATATTTATTTACTTATTTTTATTTGTAAGATAAGATCTTGGTATGTGGTCCAGGCTGGCCTTGAACTTGCAATCCTCCTGCTCAGACTCCCGAGTGCTGGGACTACCGGCGTGTGCCACCACGCCAGCTTTGAAGACAGTTTTGGATTGGGGAGAAAAGTGGAAACTTCTAGGAAAACACCCAAGTAACGATGGAGATTGAGTATCCTAGATGAGAGCAGCAAGAACTCTAAGAACTGACTTCCGGAAAGAGCACTTTCAGTAGTTTCCGATGGGCCATGAAACTGCAGGATCAATGACAACAAAAAACTAAAGCTTTACGGAAACACCATGCATAGGGGCAGCCAGTTTTCCGTGGAATCCCTGTGCAGGGCACTTGTACCCTGGTGTCCCCGTTTCTGCGCCCTTCACACTTGCTCAGAGGGAAGTGGATCATGGATGGCTACGGCATTCAGCATGAACTGTTGGGTTTGAGGAAAGCTTAAGAGAAAGCTGCCTCTTGTAAGCCAGAGATCCCACTCACATGTCAGAAAAGTTGCTGAGGGATTTTAAATGTCAGCCTGAAGGTCTGAGTCCACAAGACCACCATGGGCTCTTGGACTAGTGGGCACAGTACCACCGTCTCCTCTCCCTATCAGGTCATTTTCGTTCCATGCGAAGAATCTGAGAAGGGTTTTTCGAAAATTCTTCAATGACTAATGCTGCAGAATGGTGTGTCATCTTGACACATTAAATAATATACTGCAAGCTAATTCCTAGGGTTAAAATATGTACTTCCAACCACAGTGGTTCATACTTGTAGTCCCAACAACTTGGGAGGCTGAAGCAAGAGAATGGCAAGTTCAAGGCCAGCCCAGGCAATTTAGCAAGACTCTGTCTCAAAAAGGGACAGGGTGAACAAAATAAAACCCAATGATCTGTATAACAAATATGCACTAATATTATTAAGTAGTTATCCAAAAGTATTATTAAAAACCATTTTTAAGAAGGTATGGGAATGTAACCTGATGGCGGGACATTTGCCTAGCATGTGAGGGGGCCTGAATTCAATCCCCAGGACTGCAAAAAAAGAACAAATATCTTGTGGTTCAAGGTGAGTTCTTCATTTTCTTATTACAAAATGCAACCACTATCCTGGTATGAAGCTGCCTCTCTAGCAACACTAAGTGCTGATTAAGGGCTGGCTTCCAGCAACTATGTAGCCAGGAAGGAATCTGGGTTTGTGGTGCAGGCTCTGGATGAAGGCTGAGGCTGGCGACACAAAGACACAGCCCTCCCCACTTCCAAAGAAACCATGTCCCATGCCAACCAAGTGCCTCATCACCATCCTGCACCATCCACACACAAAAGTCAGTGCACAGAGCCAGAAGGGCACCTAGATCGCCCCCTCAGAAGACACCAGCCCCCAGCTCCACCCTGACCCCAGACCCTCACCCTTCCGGTCATGGCAGCCCTTGACTTCTCTTTCCCACAATTCCATGCCTCCCTTCTCTTTGGAAACAGCCTAACAAGAAAAAAGCAAACTGAATGGTCACAGGCTGCTCCAATGACTCAGATACCTTTGAAGAACTGCCTTGTTAGGCGATGATTTCACCACTGTGGAACCATGGTGTGTTTGCACAAAGCTAGACAGTGTGGCCTATCACACACTTAGCTATGCACTGCACCCTTCTGGCCTGTAAACCTCTACCACAAATCATTGTGCTGAATACTGGGCCATTACAACACAATGGTATTTGTGTATCTAAACACAGGAAAGGTACAGATTTTTTTTGGCCTTTATATATTTATACAAGCATAGTTTTGATATCTTCAGAACAACTAACATAAAAAGTTTTTAAAAAGTAAAAACAATAACATGCAACACCAGAAACTCAAAGTAACACTTTCATTTTAAAGTTTCTGCACAGCAAAGGACACAACCAGCAGAGTGAAAAAATAAATGACAGAATGGGAAAAAAACCTTTGTCAGCTCTGCCTCAAACAGAGGACTAATATCTATAATATATAAAGAACTCAAAAAAATCAGAACCCCCCCAAAATAAAAGTCCTAATAAAAAAATTGGCTACTGAAATGAATAGACACTTCTTAGAAGAAGTAAAAATGGTCAAATACATACATGAAATAAATACTCAACACCACTGGCCATTAGAAAATTGTAAAGCAAAACAACACTGAGATTCCATCCTACCCCAGAAAGAATGGCTACTGTCAAGAAATCAAATAGTAACAAATAGGGCTGGGAATTTAACTCAGTGGTTCTGCCACCTGCCTTGCAAGTGCAAGGTCCCAAGTTCGATCCCCAGTACCAAAACAAAATAAAACAAAAAAACCCCAAATAACAACAAATACTGATGAGGTTGTAGGGGGAGGGAACCCTTCTCCATTATTGGTGGGAGTGTAAACAAGTATAACCACTATGGAAATCAGTGTGGAGATTTCTCAAGAAACTAAAAGTAGAAATTCCATTTGACCCAGCCCTACACCTTGTAGGTATCTTACCAAAAGAGTTAAAAATGTTTTATTACAGTGATACATGCATAGTCATGCATGGCCTATATGTTCATCAACAGATGAATGGATAAAGAAAATGTTGTGAGGGGCTGGGGATTTAGCTCCTTGGTGCCATGCCTGCCTGACAAGCACAAGGTCCTGAGTTGGATCCCTAGTTCCAGGAAAAAAAAAAAAAGAAAACGTTGGGTTCATACACATGGAATACTACTCTGTCATAAACAAGGATAAGTTTGAGTAATTTGTAGGAAAATGGATGTACCTTGAGACAATAATGTCTCAAGTGAAATAAATCAGACACACAGGCTTAAATATCACACGGTTTCTCTTCTATGAGAAACCTAAAGTATAAATAATTTAAGGACAAAATAAAAGATAGATAATAGGAAACAGGGAAATAGATATTTTGCAAATAGGAAGAGAACCAAGAGATAGAAAGAGCAGAGAGGGAGGAGAAAGGAGGAGGAGGAAGTAAATGGAATTAAGATGTGTTACATACATGTGACAACTCTCTACAATGAATGGCATCGTTATGCATTGCAAATGTGGTCTGATAAAAACAAATGAAAACTAAACTAAACAAAAATAACACTTTCATGGCCAGGGATTTAGCTCAGTGGTTCCACTGCCTGCCTCCAAGCACAAGGTCTGGAGTTTGATCCCCGGTACCAGAAATAAGTAAATAAATAAAATAACGTTTTCACATGCCAGGCAGCACAGTAGGTTTATTTACACTGGCATCACCATCCACATGTGAATATGGCCTTAAAGTGTTAGTATGGGCATGATGTCACTGCAAGACAGGAATTTTTCAGCTCAACCATAATCCTTTTATTATTTGCTGCTGTGGACTGAACCCAGGACTTTGCATATGCTAGGTAAGCGCTCCACCACCCAGCTACACCCCTGGTTCTACTATCATCTAACGGCACCACCATGTGTATGTGAGTCCATCCTTGACTGAGGTGTTACAGCATACGATCAAATGCCATTATCCTGCCTCTGCACAATGCGGATGGAATATGCTGGCAAGGGTTTGACTCCGTTTTTCAGTGTCTACTCACCACAGTTTTTAAGTCAGTGCACCCACCCATGAGGTATTCTAAAGGCAAGGATTATAAAAGAAATCCAGCTGTGATCTCCATATGAACATGAATGCTGAACCAACCTCCGTGCATGAGTAGACTTCAGGGTTCTGCTGGTAAATCTTTGCAATTTGGTTGCCTGTAAAACGCTAGAAAGAGTACAAATTCTTAGAAACCCAAATTCTACACAGAATGAATAACCAACTCTTCAAAGTAAGTTTAACACATAGAACTCTAGCTATTTGGTGGAATAGTATGAGCTTTAATCAATTAACCAATTTGAGTGTTTGTTTGTTTTTAGACAGGGTCTTGCTATGTGGCCCAGACTGGCCTCAAACTTCCGATCCTCCTATGTTAGGCTTTTGAGTTGTGGGGTTACAATGTGTGCCACCATGCCCAGCCAGTAAAAACACTTAAAGGCCCCAAATCCTTAAATGTTTGGTATCTGCTAAGCACCCAAGATTTGGGACTCTACATCCTTAATGTGCTTGGTAATCAAATACTTGGGCAACAAAACAATTGTGTTCCACCCATGGGACAGGGACCTAACTTCTACACATCGGGACTGGACAAGCCTTCATAAATAACCTTGCTCTTTACAATACAATTATGACCAAGGCACCAGAGCAGGTGACTCAAGATATTTTCCCACCTATTTTCCTTTTTCAAGTGTCCTAAGCAGGGTTGGCCCTATTTCCCAAATCTGTACTCCAGAGATCATGTGACCCAAATTGGCCAATCACAGCCACTTCTGGGACTGAGGCCCTGTATCTAGGCCCAGCACCTGTCTGCCATGTTCTGATTCCTTTCAGTCTCAAAACTACCCCAAGTGGGAATCCTGTTGTTACACGAGGGTACAGAGAACCCAACCTGTCATCTCCCACATAAAGCAGCCCTACATGAGCTCCCTGACTTGGAAGCACCTGGGAAAAGGCTGCCCTTGTGCAGTGAGGAAAGCGAGGCAGCCAGGACCAGGACCCGGGGACCTGAATGCCCAGTCCTGGCTCCACAGGGCAGACACTACACCACCTCAGAGAGGCTAGGTGCTCACTGTGTCTTCCCAAATGCCTAGGAAGAGCCAAGTGTGGTGGTACATGCCTGTAATCCCAACACTCGGGAGGCTGAGGCAGGAGGATCACTGTGAGTTCAAGGCCAGTACGGCCTACATAGTGAGTTCCAGGTCAGTCTCAACTACACAGTGAGACCCTGTCACACACACACAAAAAAAATGAAACAAAACAAAACCCAAATGCCTAGGAAGACAGTCCAGCCCACCCTGGCCCATCATGGGCTGCTCACCTCATAGGCACGGGACCCCGTCAGGCAGCTGAGCACCTGGGCTCCCCCAACAGCGACTTCTAGCTGGCGGCACTGGGTCGTGGTGCTGGAGTCCATCCATACCGGGCTGTCACTGAGGGAGAAACAGGCCTGGAAAGGGGCAAGACACTGGCAGTCACAGCGCCCATAACAGCAGGTGTGGCCCCGCTGCCCAGGACATGCACTTATAAGACCTGTGAGTAAACCCTCTGCCTGTCCCAATAGCACGGAGTTGAAGGGCTCTGCTACTGAGGCAACCAGCACCACAGGCATCACTGGAGATGGGCAGGGAGGAGCTACGGTTGCAGCAAAGCCAGGCTTTTGGGGGAGGGGACTTCTGAAACCCAGGAGAGAGGGGTGGGCCAGAGGCTCTACCTTCCAGCAGCATCCTCTGGAGCATCAGGTACCACGGGGTGGTGGGAAAGGAAGCCAAAGTCTTTCTGGGAAGCAAGGGGCTCATGTGACGTGGATCCTTAGCACGTGGTCCTTGTGTCCACACCAGGGAGAGAGACTCAGGGCAGGGCAGACTACTGTACATGGCTACAGCCAAAGCCCCCTTCTTACACACTCAACATTGTGGAAATGCCCTGGATTTGAGGGCCCACAGGACTTGGGGTCCCTCCACCCATCTACAGAAGTTTCTCAGACTCACTGAGCACGGCCATTACCTGCAGCTGCTGGTGTAACGGGAGGTCTGGTGATAGGCTTGCCAGCACCAGGCTGGCCCCAGCACTCCAGTAAATGCTCCCATGTTGCTGTTGAGGGGAAACCCAAGCACATGTTCATATGGTACACACTGGTGTCACAGAAAGACCCCAGCTCATGCGCCAGAGACTGGGCTCCATGCTTCCCCTGCCACCTCTCAGTCACAGAACTCATCACTTTGGAGACTCCGTTTTCATTTCTATAAAATGGGGAGGAACTTTGCCCTTCGACCCCAACACTTGAACGCTTGTAGGAAGGGTCCAAGAAAGAATTATTGGTCCGTATCTTGGTGCTTTTTGTAAAATTATACAGAAATGTACTAATCGCAATGTGGTCTGGATAGAGTTCATTCATTCAGTATGTACTGAGCACCTGGATCCTGCCAGGGACAGGACAGAAGAAAGCAGTTAGTGTCCCCAAACAGTCAGTAAACTCATGCAAATGCTCCCTCTCCTCTTAACAGAGCCACCATTTCGTTCCGCTCGTCTTTCCCTCAGTGTCCTACTTTCTATAACGCTAAATCCTAAGAACTCTCTCAGATCCTTTTACAAGGAGGCAAGTCCCACAGTGCCCAAAGCGACCCGACTGGAGGCTCTTTCACTGAAAACGAAAAGCATGCTGCAGGAGGAACCATCACCCCACAATCTGGACAGCCACTCCCACAGGGCAGACGGGTGACTGCAAACAAACCTGGCCTGCCCCAGACAAGGCTAGGACTTGCGAGAAGTCAAAACCCGAAGCCTTCATCTTCTCCAGGATGACATCCAGAGCCTGAGCAGAAGCACAGAGACCACCATGAATGCACTGAACCATGGACCCAGGTGAGCCTCGCCATGGAAAGGAATGCAAGGGCTGCCTGGGCAGAAGGGTTCAGCATATGAGGGTGGGCCTGGTGACAGGTCTGTGAGCACCAGGATGTGCTAAGCAAGCAGGAACCCACCAAGTAAAAAAGTCAATGATGCTAAAACTATTTTAAATAAATGGAATCATAAACCACGAATCTTCAGTTCACTTCTCCTATTTGTGACCTACCTACCCTCAGGATGCAAAATGCAAAGCAGCTCCGGGGCCCAGACCCTAGAACAGCAGCCCTAGGTAGAGGACATGTCTCAACCAGGCTAATTTCCCTAAGTGAAGTCCTCAGCCTAGCGATGACCTTACCTGCATCTGGGACTTCTTTTTTTTTTTTTTTTTAATTTTTTTATTTTAATATAATACAAATAGATGTTAATACTAAAAAGAATATATTTTTGTTTGCTAATCTCTCAGCTCACTTCCTAATAATACTATACCTTTTTTGTTGCCTAAAACATTTTAAGTATTCGAAAACTATCTTACATTCTGTATAATTTTAAACAATTTCTTCCTTTTTCACTATATTTATTATTCTTTTTGGTCTTTTGTTTTCACTTTCAGTTGCTCACACCAGAGAGACACTGTGATATTTACATGTGTGTTCAGTTTATTTCACTTAAAAGTATGTTCTTAAGGTGCATCCATTTACCTAGAAATGTCTTGACTTTATCATTCTTTATGGCAGAGTAGTACTCCACTATATTAAAAAAAAAACACACACACATCGTCTTTATCCATTCATCAGTTGATGGGCATCTGGGTTGTTTCCAAGACTTAGTTATTACAAACTGTGCCACTACAAAAATGGTGCATATATCACTGTGGTATGATGCTTTTAATTCTTTTGGAAATATATCCAGAAGGGGAATAGCTGGGTGAAATGGGACCTCTAATCCTGGTTCTTTGAGGAATCTCCACAGCAATTTCCACAGTGGTTGCACTAGCCTGCACTCCCACCAACAAAGAAGGGTTCCTTTCTCCCAACAGCCCTGACAGCATTTGTTGATGGTTGATTTCTAGACAACAGCCATTCTTTCTGGGGTGAGGTGGAATCTCAGTGTTGTTTTAATTTGCATCTCCCAAATGCCAGTGACACTGAACATTTTTCATGTATTTTTTGCTGTTTCTACTTCATCAGAGAAGAGTGTATTCATCTCAGATGCTCATCTTTGAATTGGGTCTTTAAATTTGGGTGGACTGATTTTTTTCAATTCTTTGTATGCTCTATATACTAGTCCTTTGTCTGAGGAAACACTGGCTAAAATTTTTTCCCACTCAGTAGGTTGGTGATTTCTTTTATTGTGCAAAAGCTTTTTAATAAGGTTAGGTCTGGGACCTCTCGACAGTGACCCTTGCCTCAAACCGCCTCACAACCCCATAGTCCAGCTCAGATTATCTGGGTGAAATCCATCCCTTACCTCATCCTTCAGTGGAACAGTCATGTTAAGGTCAATAAAAAAGAAATCATACTAGTTATCTTTAGCAGAAAGGCGTTAATACAGGAATTGGTTAAACAGGTATGGAGGGCTGAGAAAAGCTTTGGACAAATACAGTAAGTGCTGCCTTTAGCTGGCCTCCAGGGACTCTGGTATCTGTGGCACAGGAGGCAGTCCCAGCCCTATCACACCTTTCTGTGCTGCCCGCATCCTTGGCTCTGTGGCCCCATGGGTCACCAGACCTGCCCTCAGGCATCCTTTTTTCTTATTGGTTCCAAGGTGGTAGACCTGGGTAGTCTGATTATATGTTATCATTCTGAGTGCCTGAACCCTGGGGCTGAAGGACTAAGACCCAAAAAGCTGTGTCTGGAACTCAAGGTACAAGGGAGACCCGAGAGCTGACTGTAGGTGTCTGGGAAAGCCTGGCTCTGGCTTTGGCTCTGGCAGGACCTGCCAGCCATTGTTGCTCCCACACCTGTTGGCCTTTTGTGGGCTCCCTTAGCTTATCAGTGTTGACACCAGCTGAGGCTGAACCTTCCCCAGGAACCACACAGGTCCTTTAACCCTGAGGACCTGGTCTCAACAGCTGCTCACATGATCAGCCACCTGGGGGCTTCCTAGGAAATCACTAAACCTGCTGGTCAGACAGGCTGGGGACAGAAGAGGGAGGGGATCCCTGTGCTTACCTGGACCCACATCAGGACTGGAGAGGTGACTGTCAGCCCATCCTTGTGCACATGCACCCCACCCTGAGTCCTGCAGGGAGAAGAGGAGAGGATATGAAGTGGAGCCTCAGGGCAGGCTGAGCACTGCCACCCAGTCCATGGTGGGGCGCTGAAGACACCCCTCAGTGGGAGGGAAGGCAGGGATCATTCAGAGAGGCCCAGAGGTGGCGTTCTCAGAGGGCGCATTCCCAATGAGCTTTGCAGGTGTGAGGGGCTGGCTGAGGAAGGCAGGGATGATGTCACTCTGTAAAGGAGTCATACGGGAACCAGGAGAGTGTGGGTTAGAATAAAATCCCACAAGTTTGGAGAAGTGGGGGACAGCTGTGCCTTGAGGAGTAAGTTCTTGCCCATCACAGCAGCTCAGGAACTCCTTCAACTTCAAGTCATGGAAGGTTCTTAGAACCCTCTCCCCACCCTCTGCAAAGAGCTGACCTGATAAAACCCCACCCTTACAACTGAGTTAAAATGTTTTAAAAAGGCTTTAAAGGTAAAGATATCATTAATTAACTATGTGAGTTGGCCACTCCATCCCTAGGGATCTAAACATGGGTCCTGACTGTGGTGGTGCTTTCACAGGTGCAGGTCTCCTTCCCTCTGTCAAACCCCATGGAATTATATGTCATTTTTTTTAGTACCAGGACCCCATAATTGCTATGTGAGTGCTTTACCACCGAGCTATATCCCAAGCCCTCTTTTATTCTTTTGAGGCAGGGTCCTGCTAAGTTACCCAGGCTGGTCTGTAACTTGCAGATGTCCTGCATTACTCTCCCAAGTAGCTAGGAATCCAGCTGTGTGTCACCATGCCTACGGAATCACATACTTTCAATGAAAACCTTTTTCTGTACATAGAGTATCCTTAATGACACTGATAGTTTAACAAAAAAGAAAAATTTGTTTTTTGGTACCAGGAATTAAACTTAGGACCTTGTGCTTGCAAGGCAGGTGGTAGAACCACTGAGCTAAATCCCCAGCCCACAACACTGTTATTTTAAAAAAGATATTGTTGGGGGGAAAATAAGACAGAAAACCTAAGGACAAAAAAAATTCAGCAGAAAAGAAAAACTGCCTTTACTAAGCAAAAATTGTAACTCAAACTTTCCACCATGTATCTAACAACTTCCTTTTCCTTCCTTCCTTCCCTCCCTCCTTCTTTCTTTTTCTTTCTTTTCTTTTCTTTTCTTTTCTTTTCTTTCTTTCTTTCCTTCCTTCCTTCCTTCCTTCCTTCCTTCCTTCCTTCCTTCCTTCCTTCCTTCCTTCCTTCCTTCCCTTTCCCTTCCCCTCACTTCCCTCCCTTCCTTCCTTCCTTCCTTTTGGTACCGGAGATTGAACTCAGGACCTTACACTTGCAAGGCAGGCGGAGGCACCACTGAGCTAAATCCCTGGCCCAAAATTTTTATTTTTTGGTACCAGAGATGGAACTCAGGCCCTTGCACTTGCAAGGCAGGCAGTGGAACCACTGAGCCAAATCCCCGGCCCACTAACAACTTTAAATTAGCCATTCTCATTGAAAAGGAAGACGAGAGTTACCCTGTACCTGTAAAAATGGTTTCACAGAAAAATTCTACAAAACCATTTTTTCTTATGCAGTGCTAGAGATTGAACCCAGAGCCTTTTGGGTGTTAGGCAAGGAGCCTATCATTGAGCTACATCCCTAGTCTCACACAACTTTCAAAAAGTGATTATTTCTAATATTACTTAAATTGTTTCATAGCACCTAAAAAGAAACTTTTCTAATTATTTTAGGAAGTAAATATAATATTAACACCAAAATCTACTGCTCAAACATCAAAAGAGAAAAATTAAGACTTTATTAAAAGTAAAAAGTTTATTTCAAATGGTCATCAAGAAAGTGAAGACATCTGGGAGGCTGAGGCAGGAGGATCACAAGTTCTAACTAATCTGGGTGAGTTAGCAACTTAGCGAGGCCCTGTCTCAAAATAAAACATTTTTAAAAAGGGCTAAGGATGTAGCACTCTATGAAGGCCCTGGGTTCAATCCAGAATTGCAAAAGGATAATAATAATAATAATAATAATAATAATAGTAATAGTAGAGATGGCTCACAATGTGGCGGAAAAGTTTGGAAATCATATACCTAAGAAGGGATTTGTGTCCAGAATACATAAAAAAACTTTTACAATTCAATAATAAAAAGACAACAGTTTTTAAAAATGGGCAAAGGATCTGGACAAATTTCTCTAGAGAAAGCAAGCAAATGGCAAAGACACTTAACATCACTGGTCATTAGAAAAATGTAAATAAAAACAATAAGCAATAGCACACTACATTCCCTAGGGTGGTTATAATATACAATCAAAAAGATGGACGGTAACAAACGTTGGGGAGGATGTGGAGAAACTAGAATGTGAAACAATACAGCAGTTCCTCAAAATACTGACACAGAATTACCACATGACCCAGCGCTGCTCTGTAAATACTTGACAGAAATGAGAAGAGACATCCACACAAAAACTTGGGGTGTCATGACAAAATACCACAGCCTGAGTGACTTCAACAACAGACATTTATTTTCTCACAGATATTTATTTTCTCCCAGTTCTGCAGGTTGGAAGTCAGTGACCAAGGTACCAGCAAATTCCTTTTCCATGGCAGGTCTTCTCCTGGCCTGAAGACACTTACCTCTTACTATAGTCTCACAAGGCCTTTCCTGAATTCCCAAACACAGGAAGAAAGCTCTGGCATCTCTCTTAGAAGGACACCAGTCGGGTCGGGTCAGGACCCAGCCCTTATGACCTCATGGCACTTTAGTTACCTACTCCAAGACCCCATCTGCAAATGCAGCATATTGAGGGCTGGGGCTTCCACATTAGTATTTGGGGCAGGAGACACTTCAATCCATAAGACACAAGAATATTCACAGCAGCATAATTCACAATAGCCAAAAAGAAGAGGAACCACCCAAATGTCTACTTGAATGAGGGAATACATAAAATGTGGTGGGATCCCAGCTACTCAAAAAATGAGGCAGGAGGAGCGTGAATTCAAGGCCAGCCTGGGCAACTGAGCAAAACTCTATCTCAATTGACATGCGTTATGTATATGTACCATTTCCTCACAATTAATGTAACCAACCATTCTGTGATAAGGATTATGTAAGATCATCACCCCTCCATGCACAAAAACTAGTAGCTTTACAAGAGGGAGAGGTGAGGGCATAGCTCAGTGGTGGAGCAAATGCTTAGCATGTGCAAGGCCAGAGAGAGAGAGAGAGAGAGAGAGATCACATACACACAACATGCACACATGAACAGTCTTTCTTCTTCGTCAAGTGTTGCCCTGCACCACCGTGGGACTCTGAAAGCCAAGAAGGCTATGGTCAGATATGGTCCTTAGACCTTCAGCCAGAAGCATGAGCCAAAATAAACCTCCCTTATTTTCCTTGTAGCTGCAGTATTATGTGTTATGAATCTATGGCACTGGTGATGAACCTATGGCACACATGCTGCAGTGGTTAGCCATTACTAGTCCACGGTATTGTGTTATAGGCAACAGAAAATGGACTGATACAACCACTGAATTCCAGTACCCCTCATGGTGCCTGGAACAGAGCCTATCTGAAATGGCATTCAATGCATGTATGAATGAATGAAGAGTTGGGAAGGAACGGGGAGAAACCACCCAGGTACAGAAGAAAAAAAAATGCTGCTCAGAGGTCTAACAAGACCACTTCTACAGTTTGGTGAGGCCAGAACAGTGTGGTCTATGAATGTAAACAGTTTGGGGATACTCAGTGGGGGCAAATGCTTAGCATGTGCAAGGCCAGAGAGAGAGAGAGAGAGAGAGAGAGAGAGATCACATACACACAACATGCACACATGAACAGTCTTTCTTCCTCGTCAAGTGTTGCCCTGCACCACCGTGGGACTCTGAAAGCCAAGAAGGCTATGGTCAGATATGGTCCTTAGACCTTCAGCCAGAAGCATGAGCCAAAATAAACCTCCCTTATTTTCCTTGTAGCTGCAGTATTATGTGTTATGAATCTATGGCACTGGTGATGAACCTATGGCACACATGCTGCAGTGGTTAGCCATTACTAGTCCACGGTATTGTGTTATAGGCAACAGAAAATGGACTGATACAACCACTGAATTCCAGTACCCCTCATGGTGCCTGGAACAGAGCCTATCTGAAATGGCATTCAATGCATGTATGAATGAATGAAGAGTTGGGAAGGAACGGGGAGAAACCACCCAGGTACAGAAGAAAAAAAAATGCTGCTCAGAGGTCTAACAAGACCACTTCTACAGTTTGGTGAGGCCAGAACAGTGTGGTCTATGAATGTAAACAGTTTGGGGATGTCCAAAACCACAACCTCCCCACCCCTACACACCAGGCACATACCCAAACTCTGGAAGATCTCTGTCAAAATGCACACTGTCCTCATAGAAGATATTCATCTCTGCATCAACAGCAACAACTTTCACCTGGAAGGCATTTTTTAAAATGATGTGTATAATTTTTCTCAGCTTCTGCGCTGGTTCATGGGTTACTAACATCACCAGCAGGGTTCAGTCTAGTGACTCTTGAAAGCTAGGGTGGCGTCATTGTAACCATGGCAACAGGGGCTTATCTTCAGGCATACCCCAAAGAGTTAGTGAAATGAAGAAGCTGAGACTAAGTAGGAACACTCATGTATCTCCAAGAAACTCCACTCCCCAGACAGCCAAACCCAGAGCCAGGAGAGGAGGCCTGAAAAAGTCCTAGGCCAAGGATAGAAGGCCATGTGAGGTGACTGAGGGGTGAGGATGGGGCCACCTGCCGGGATCTGAGAGACCAGGCAAGGCGCATGGGCTGTTCCCAGAGGACAGAGACACATAATATCCCAGTGAAGCAGGGCCCCTAGTTGAGGAATATAGTTCCTTTCCTGAACAAATGGGGAAACTGAGGCAAGGCAACCGGATGTTCGTATCAGGTACTGAGGAGGCCTCCTTCCCCTGGCCATTTGAGGAAAGGGGTTTGACTGCAGCAGTGTTTACTCCCTGGGCACCCCAAGCCCAGTTCAAAGGCAAGTTTGCACTGTGCTGCACAAATCTACGGCCAACAGTCCCAGGCCTGTGGACCCGGGCAGGCTGGTGCCAACCGAGGACAGGCAAAGTCCATTGTACACTGTGCCCATTTCACTTTAAAAACAAATTTGCAGCGACGGTCCAGTTCCAGGTCGCTGCTTGGCTTAAAAGCAGCGCTGTCTGTTGGCGCCCTGCCGGACCAAGCCGAAGGGGTTCGAGTGCCACCCTTGGCGCCACCGCGGGCAAGCCGCCGCCGACCCCGACAC